AATGCACATCTCTACGCACAAAAACGCCTTTGCTTTGGGAGAAAGGGTCATTGTCGAAGCTAAAAACGGATCTATTGGGCCAAGTTAGATATAACTAACATTAACGATAAATAACTACCAACAATTAAAACTTGAAATTGAGATTAAAATTATAAAAAAGTATTGTATCATATTAAATTATTTTAAACTACATAATTTTAATAATTTGATAAAAAATTTAATAAATTTTATTTTATAATCTAATATAATTTAAATTATAAGATAAAAAATTCTTAAAATACCATTTAAAAATTACATAAAATAATTATTCCTTTGATTTAAAATGAAAGAAGAAAGAATACAGATAAGCTCGCCATGTACAACGGCAAAAGTCATAAAAACAAACCCAAGACCAAAATAAATTTATTAACAAGGAATTAATCAACCCAATTTAAGAAAACCGACTTTCAATTATTCCCATAAAATCACCTCACTAATGAAAAAACGGCTTGAATGTGCTCACCACTTTCTTGACCTGGTCAACTATAGATATATACGACACCGTTCCGTCATTCCCCGCCAAAACCCTGTACTTGTCCTTCCTAGTGAAGTTGGTGCATTCAAATCCTAATGTGGCTGCCAAGATCCTCTGAACATAATTCGCCACGTCATGGGGACTTTTGCCGGACGAGCAGGTTGCTTCAGCCGGCAATTGGTTCAAGAAGGTGACCTCGTAGATTGGTCTAGGGTTCATGAAGAAGAAGATGGGGTCCAAACCTTTCCAGCCCCTAGCGGTGGTGGCATGGAAGAAACCTACCCTGTAGTTCATGGCTACTGGAACAATTCGATCGGTGAGTTCTGCAAATAGGGCACTGAATCTCAAGAGAAACGGCTCTCTACATGTTGTTCCCTCTGGACATACAACTAGATCACCTTTGGATAATTCTCTCTGGATCCTTTCAGCGTCAACTTCACGAATCCTTGTTAATCTGACGGTTGGGATTGGAGATAGGATCTCCGAGAGTCGCGAGATGGAATAGGTGACGGCGGGGATTTTACGTCGGAGCACCGTAGATAAGACCACCGGATCCATCAGGGTTCTGTGAGTGCAAACATAAAGGACACCATTGTTGCCACTTGAGACTGGCGGTGGTGGTTTGCCCTTTACAATGATTTTGCCACCAAATAAATGCGACATGTAAGGAATGACACGCATTGGTAGCATGAGACCAACAAAAATGCGGATTGCTGCGATTATAATGCCCAATGGCATCCATAGTAGGATTAAGAGAGCGGTTGAGGGGGTTGGACGCTTCACAAGGCGGCCGTCATGAAAGATCACCGGCAGTGGGCGGATGATCTGGTGATCACTGTGTTTTTGATCCGTGTGGAATGGTGGGTGCAATTCTTCCTGTTGTAAGCAATTTGAGGATTTTTAGTGTTATAAGCATGAACTTTATGTATTTACTTAAAAATATGTAAAGTATTATATATTAAAAAAATGTTAAATTTGTAATTAATAAAACAATTAGTACAGTTACAACTAATTGGATAATAAATTATAAAATTTTAGCATATTATATATATAATAAGTTAATAATAATTTGATATTTTAAGAACAAATTATTTTTATGTTATAATTTTATATTATTAATTGAATTATATCATACACAATATATAGAACTATAATCTTTTAATAAAATTTACCTTGCAAAGAGATAAGAAATGAGAATTCGATCTCGGCCTTCCTAGTCCTAAACTAGGGCTTCCATCCACAAACAATTTAGCAACTCGACAAGAGATTGAATTCATGTCACCTTCAAGCAAACCGATTGCGTATCCAAACCGGTTCACGACAAGCTCACTTCCGACCACCTCATCGGCCCGCAGATGCTCCTTCACAAACATCTCCACCATGATCCTAGGCATCCTAGTCACAACAACTCTCCTTTCATACGAGCTAAACACCCTCCACGTACCCATGTCAATATCACCCATATAAAACTTAGGCAACACCGCTCTCGCCACCGACTCAATCTCCGACTCCCTCACACCCACCGTGGCAACAAATATCATCAACTTAAGCCCAACATCCCCATACCCCAACACCTCAAACAACCGGATCACCGGCCATAACGCCAACAACAAGGCAAAACGAACCAAACCAGACGCCTCAAACGCCACCAACATGAAATAACAAAACGGATTCGTATCTTTCAAAAGAGTCCCTTCCAGCTCCGAAACCACTGAAGACCCCATAACAACCGTTTCTTTTTGAGTTCAAAAACTTTCAGGTATTCCTGTGAGACACTGGATGGCGAAAATGGGTTATATGGGAAAGTAAGTATAAGGTTGGGATTGACTGAGCCCTCTGATTACGGAATGAGGCAGTTTATCAGACCGCAACTACCCCTTTATATACATTTTCTCCCTTCCTGTGGAGAGGTAGATATATCTGCAAAGAATATATAAAGGATTATACTCCACGTTAATATACGAAATTGATTACTTAACCCCAACAACTTTGGTTTTCTTTAGTGTAATTAGGTTATTTGTACACACCTAATTAAATTTCGACCGTCATGTGTCTTAATTAGGTTATTGATCGTATATATAACATGTAATGGTCACTGGTTTTGTGACGACTGTCGCGCTCACGTTGTGGAATTGCTGCTAGGGATGTAACCAACAAAATTCTTCTTCATTTTTGTTTGATGTTTTCAATTGTCTTTCATCCGGGTTCTGTATAACCTCTAGTGTTTTAAATTTTTAAACTTCGTTTCCATATGCCCTGTGTATGGTTCAATCTCTGGATTGATCTAGAAATTTCTTTCACTCCAGAGATTAATGGAAATAGAGCTGTGGAAGAATTGACAGCTAATTATAATTAAGAAATTGATCTTGGGTTGATACAATAAAGAAAGCAGTAGCCAAATTCATTGTCTATGCAATGGATTTTAATTAATCAATCCATTAGTCTTCAGATGGACAAATTTGCCAAGAAATCGTATCAATCAATATACCATTCCAGAGATCAGAGCATGTATATAGCTTACAAGTCACTTAAAAATGCATTGATTGCATAAATTGTGGCAATTTAGTGATCCAAAGGCCATACTTTTTCTGTAAGCAACTCAAAAAGGGGACAAACTCTCATCAAATGCATACCCTACGGCTGCTGCAATCTGCAGGCTGGCAGAGGAAGCTTGCAAGAAGAAGTTCAAAAGTAGGTTAGAAACTTGCCAACCGCAGCCGCCTTGTGTAGGGGTGAAAAACCCAGAGGACAACTGTTTTTTGGTACAAACTACAATTCAATTGGTGGTTTGCTTCTGAAAGGGAAAATTTCTTTGCCAGAGGTAGGTGAGGTTGGTTGGAAAAGTGAAAAATTATTTGGAAAAATTTGTTCCCTTATTGAATTAGCATTAGGATATATATATTACCAAACGAAATAAATTAGCACTAGGAATCTCTCCATTAATTTTAGGCAGTCCGATGTCTAATACTGGAAAATGGTACATACAGCGTCACAAGTTACTTTATATGTCAAAAAGATATGGGAGCTGGTGTGTAGAGATTTGCCTTGGTATCTATGAACAAGACAGTTTGTAAATATATGTGATACTAATTTAGTCAAGGTCCAAATACCCATAATATGAAAGAAAGAAAGGAGAAAACGTCAATAAAAAAGAATGTGACGAAGGGAAAGAGGAATAGAGGGCAAAGGGAAAGGTTTTAACTCTCCCCTGTTGAGGTTACATAGCTTTGACTTCCGTTAATATAACCTTAAAATTTAGAACTTACAAATTGCCATAGGAAGATTAAAATTAATTTGATGAAAAGGAAAACAGTGAAGAAATATTATTCCTTCAGCTGGGTGGGCAGAATGTGATGACATAACGAGGAGCTTTGCAAGTTTTGAGCCCTGTGGAATCATCAAAGGCATAGCTATAAGCCCTGGGGCAAATGGCCTTAAAAAGATGAGCAAAAATTGTAGGTTTGCAGTTCTGAGGATTGGCAAACTTTCCCGTGCAGCAATACCTATCCGTTTTTGCAGCCAAACAAGCACTCTTGCAGCCCACCACCTTCCCTTCTTTCCTCACAACCAAAGCAGCAGGGCAACAAACATTCAGATCAGCCTCACAGGCCGCCACTCCACACCCCTCACCGCCACCCACAGGCACCATCGATACAGGAACATTAAACCCATCAACCAAACTCACATCATAGTAATGCAAGGCTGATTTCGGGGTCCCTAGTGTCATTTCAACAAGAGTTGCTGGAGGCTTGCCGCCGATGCCATTGCATTGTAAAAGGCCAGCACAGTCTCCAGTTTGACACGATCCCTTGCCTGTCTGGTCGAAACAACACCCTTGTCTAGGCCAGATTCTACCCGACCATTGTTCGGGTAGTTCAAGGACTGTCTGTTCACCGCAGTTGAGATAAAAGCCACCGTCTACCGGAGTGTCATGGCCTGCAGTGGCAAGGATTCCGGGCCATATGCTTTCTTGACAGTTGTTTACTATTATGAGTTGAGTCCCATCTGCAACAAAACATCAAAAGTTCAGTTCTTTTAACTAATTACAGAATTACAGAAAAACGAAATTAAAATCAAAATGCAGCAGAAGGAGTACCTGATAAGGAGAAAAGGATGAGAATACAGAGGAAGAAGAAGAGGAGATCAAAGGCAGCTGACATTTTTTAGAATTTTGAGGATGGAACTGCAGATTCAGGGTGGGATAAAGACATGTAAATGTGTGTGCGTGAGAGAGAGGTGTCCTTCATTCTCGCCACTACCAAAGGGTTTAAACGTTGAATAACTGTCTGTGTGGGGTGGAAACTGTTTGAGAACAGAGAATGACAATAGTTAATATTTTTACCCATGATTGGTTAGGAATCAATCATGCCTCCCCCATTATCATTGCCTTTTAGCATAAGATTCCCTTTTTTCTGTGTCCGAGAAACAATAGTGTCTAAAAAGAAGTTGAAATGGGCTCTTGAATCTTGATGTAAGTGGCTCGTGGAAGTGATTAATCGTTTGAAAAATTTTCAACTTCATGGAATTTTGTCTAAAGCATTAAAGTGATGCAAGTTGCATCTATGCAGCTTGAATTCTCAAAAAGTAGTTGAATCTGAGGTGTAACTGTGTCATCTTCGAATGATGGGATCATGGGATGTGTTAAATAAAACACAAAAAAAAAAAAAAAAATGTTACCATCATTAAAGTTACCTGTGCTTTTTAGTTGTAGCTGTAGAATTCAATTTTTAGTTTTTACGTTGAAAAAAAAAACCACAAAATGATATGGTAACATGTTCAATTTGATGTTTCACACTAAAAATTATGTGATTTTATACAGTTAACAAATGTTTAATGCTTCCTGGTTTTGCAAGTAAATTTCTTAATCACAGTAAGTCACTCCATACCAAAAAGAGAAACCTTTGATATATGGGTTTAGCTTTGACAATTGAACATAAATTTGCAATAATCAAAGATCAGTAGTTGCTTTGATAATGGGGCAATCATTTTAAACACCTAATTCCCTGTTTGGTTCCTAAGAAAATTAGAAAAATGAAGTCCGAGGCATTCATTCCCCATCAAAATTAACCCACTGCAAATCCAAAAAAATTAAAAAGAAGCTTATGAGGAATGGAAATGGAGAGAAGAAGAAGAAGCTAGTTCTCTACAGGAGAAATCCGGCTACTGGGCGGTCCATATGGTGCCTTTCCAGGGTTTAACGGATTCGGTTTCTTCGGGAAAGCTGGGCAAGTGGAAGAAGTTCTGGTTTCTGCTAGACCAAACCCGGCCTATTTCTCACGTGACTTAATGATCCGGTAAACTATGTGCTAATAATGGTTAAACCAACCGGCTAAAACAGTACCCTAACCGGTCCGTCCGGTCTCCCAACCTTCGAATTATAAACACTCAAACCCCAGCCGTTGCCGGTCGCCAGTCTCTCCGAAGCCATTAGAGGAGTCGCAATTAAGCTTATTTTCCATTCTTTGCTTTCTCTCTTTGTTCATACCCCTCAATTTATTTTCATTTTGTTTGACGTAAATATGTTATTTCTTCCTTTATTGGTTTATCTTTTTTTAGGGAATTTCTTTTATTGGTCTTTCGTATTTAATATTAGTATAATGTTTTACTGTCAAAAAAAAAAATATTAGTATAATGTTTTTGTCAATCAATATGCTTTTATATTAGTTAAATTGTTTATGGGTCAATCTTTGTTCATGAAAAGTAGCGAACTTTTTATATTTTTTTCTTCCCTTTTTGGTTGTTGTTAAGGTTGATAGGATGGCATCTCATTTGGTGTGATTACCAATAACATCCCTCAAATAAGACCCAGCATGGAAACATGTTCAGATGTTTAAGCATGGGGATAAGGTGCAGTTGCAGTGTGTATATTCTGGGAAAATTTTCAAAGGTGGTGGGATTCATAGGATTAAGGAACAGTTAGCCGATCAAAAGGTTAATGCAACTACTTGTTTACATGTTCCAACCAATGTTTGTGATCTAATGAAAAGTTTGTTATGGGGTTGTCACGAAGAGGTGAAAGAAGGACAAGATTGTGGAGTAGATAACAAATTTTAATATGATTACTAGGGAGGTAGACCCATTTGATAATGCCAATACTGGAGTGCAATTATATGGAGCACCAGCTACCCTTGAAGCTAGTCCTAACCTGTTTCTTAATAAAAAAAAATGGGATTAGTACTAGTAGTGCTTCAGGGAATAGGAGGAAGAGGGGGAAAGAGAAAAGTTCTGTAAATGTTGGATATAGTGAGTAATCAGTCATTTTGGTCCTTCTGTGTTCTGATTACCCATTTGACAAATCCTCTTCTACTAGCTCTGAGAATAGTTTTCAGAAAGAAGTGGCCAGAAATGGAATGTCTATGCTGGAATGTATCAAGCAAAAGAAGCAATTAAGAGAGAATTTGTTAAGAGGGAAGATTATTTTATATACTGGAATATCATTGACCA